GTGAGCACTGAGTTGTCCTCACCTCCCATCCATCCCCCTCACTGACTGACTACCTGAACAACTCCAGTCCTGCCGGCTCAATACATGGTTAGTGCCTGCCATGTTTGCCTGTGAATTGTACCCCTGGGGCCATGTGTGTAGACATCTTCTCAGTGTGCTAGTGTGGATTCAGGGTATTTTACAAGGTGGACCACAGGGAATTCCACGGGTCTGGGTGCTGATCTAGGATATATTGATGTAGTTCTTGTGGAATGTGTATTAATTCTCATGAGAGTGAGTTTATCCAAGAATGCCCTGAACCTAGTTTACTACCTGCATCCTGTCTCACTGTGTCATCATTCTTGTTTACACATTCTTGCTATCAAGGTTCCATCTCTATGAGGTTCTTACCAGAGCAAGATGACACTGTGTCACACATTGAATCTACAGAAATGTGAGAGGAATACACATGTTCTGGTTGTACAGTTGCCTGGTATCAAGTTATTTGTTCTAAGAAACGAAATTAACTTCTTAATGAATATAGTTGTGGATTATTTTACCTTACGTTGATTGTTATGATGATTATAATGATGATGGTGATGGTACTAAGGTTTCAACTCATAGTTTTGCACTTTATAAGCAAGCCCTCTACTGCTTGAGCTATCCCTCCACTTATATTTGCGTTTTTCCTAGGTAATCTACTTCGTGATCCTCCTATTATAGGCATACCCATCTCACTGAGCTGACAGACATGTGCCAACAGGCTTCTTATTTTTCTCATCAGATTGGGACTTGAGGATCATGTCTCTTTGGCCTCCATCTGATCCTCTTTAACTTAGCCTCCAGTATACCTTTGGATGACAGGCATCCTGCACTTTCCCCAGCTGTTGATTTACATGAGGGTCTCCCAACCCCATAAGTTAGGATTACATTTGTGATACATGAGTGCCACACTATATTTTGAATATTATCTTTAATGTTCCTTTAAGTTTAGATATTTTACTACTTACATTTGCCATTGTAATTCTATTTCCTCTAGATTTAAGTAAGTGAACTGTTGTTCAAGTCTGAAGTGTAGGAGCAACAGGTTTCACTATAGAGTAGCTTTGCAGCAGGCAGGATGCCCATGTTTGTGTAGTCTCACTCTGTGTGATCACAAAATTATCTAAACATATCCTTCTCATTCAGTGACACATGATTGTATCTGATAAGATTGATATTCACTCTAAATTCTTACATGGAACATTCCATTTTTGACACTTCCAGCTTGTCTAGCAAGCACCTCCAATCCCTTTCACTCTCTGCCCATTTCTCAGCTCCAATACCCAGTACACATCTTCAGGTGTTTCTTAAAGCAGCATCACCACCCTGCTACTATGCATATCTTGTTCTGCTTGTCCTTCATGAGAAAATACAACAAACTTGGTAATTTTAAAATCATAGACATCTACTGCTCACAATTGTGGAGGTTGGGAAGTCAGTCCAATGTTTTGGTGGTGAATCTGGAAAGGCTGGGTTCTGTCTTCCAAGATGACATCTTCTTCCACATCCTCACATGGTGAGGGAGATAAACACAGCACAGTTGCATGGTAGAAGGAAGTATCAGTGACAATCTCAAATTTTCAAGACATTTTTTGAGTATGAAGGCAGAGTGCCCATAGGGACTGACAGATAATCCTCACTGTACTCTCAGCATTTCATAAACATTGATGCTGTGCACACCTGTGCAGCCTTCCACAAGGAGCACAGAGAGCACAGCCATGACTCTGAAATTTTACCTTTGCTCTACTGTCCTTATTTCATCCTTTGCTTCTTCCCCACCATGTTCCCAAGCAGTTCCTGATACTGACCTCCATTGGTCCTCTAGGTCAGGATTCAGTTTCTACAAGTTAAGGGAGTGAAGCTATGCATTATGCACTTCTCTTTGATCTGTCACTGGGCATGATTAATCATGAATGCCACTGTGCCAAGGCATTTACTGGATTAATGATGGCTGATATTTTATGAGTTAATTAGATACAAGTTGTTTACATGTTGAATTGCTTATGGTTATTGCATTGTTCTCAGGTTCTGACTCTACAAGTGAAGCTACAACTGAGCTTACCAAGGTGGGCTCTGTGAATCCAGCTGCTCTCATTCATAAGCAAGAAATAAAGTAGGAAACATTGATTATTGGTATAGAATCCACAACCTATCACAGATCAAAAATTATAAGCAGATCACTTAACTTCTTCTGGGTGCAGACAATGCTTACAGAGAAACACAGTACCTAGGAATGACTCCAAATGGCAGATGCAATCAGAAATCACAAGCTAATACAACCATACAGAAGAAAATTTCCAAGGACTCCAGAAGGTCATGAGTTCAAAAATGATATATTCATAGATGATCAGAAACTTACATCAATAGGGTTACAGTTCAATTCAAGGTTTTGTTTCCTGGGTTATTGTTTATTCCAGTTCTCCACTAACCTCAGTAGTTCTGCCCCAAGGGAAGTACATGTACCTCTACCCTACTGTGCAATTCTCACCAGCTCATCACCACTACAGAAATACATAACCTGCAATGTTGAGACTTCAGAGACAGCAACTTGGACCTGAGGTAGAGCAGAGGTCTGGGGGAAACACAGTGTGAAGAGATGGAACTCTTACCAAAGCCACCTCCCCTCTGTTCCTAAGTAGTAAGTGCATCACCTTCAATCAGCACAGCACACCAGGGAGGTGAGAGCATTGTGGCAACCCTTGCAGCTATGGTAGTGAAGAACTGGGAAAAGCAAATGCAAAACCAACCTTATGTGACAGGTAATATATCAGGACCCCATGTCACTTCCATGTCCCTTTTCCGCATATTCACAATTATCAAGTAAGTGTAAACCTGAAGTGGACCTGGGAGGGCACAGTGAACTGGATCTTCTTGAAGAGAGCAGAGTACCCTCTTCTGGGGTGCAAAGAAGAGGGAACCTAGTTATGGTTTTCAAAACTCCCAAAATGCCCACCAACACTCTAATTATATAGAAATTCCACAGAATAATCCTGAGAGGCAGCAGGTGTGGTGATCTCTAGAATGAAATAAGACAATAATGTGCTAACTTACAGTGTAGCTGTAAGCATATAGAAATTAGAAAAAATAAAACTGACAGGATAACAAGAAGACAAGACTCATATGGAGAGAGAATTAGAATGACAATTCATATAGGTTTGGGACACATGAAATTGAACAGAAATGTGGAAAACTTCTTAATTGTGAGAAATTCTGAAGAAAATGTAGACTTAATGAAGATCAGCTAGGCAAGTCAGCTGAGGGGTGTAACTGAAGGAAAATGAAGTGGAAAAGCCAGGTGCAATCACAGTGAACACAAGAACAATTGCACACCTTTCACAGGTTCATTATAGGATTGGAGTCCACTTTGAAAAGAAGCTAAAGCTGAGGATCTGAATGAGGGTGCACCTGCAACATAAAGAGATAGTTGAGACTTCCAGAGACCACCAAGACCAGAGGCATTTGATACATGAGGGTCTGAGATGTAACACTAGGAGGGAGAAGAGTTCCAGACAGAGACCCAGGGCAGAGTCTGCAGGGACCTATGAGGAGAGTGGAAGGATTGAGAAGATGACTACACTGGAAAGCTTAGACTGTTGAGAGGAGAGGAAAAGAACTCTGGGTAGACATGAGAATTTGATGGCTTTAAGTCTGGTCAATAGATGAGCTCATGGGAGTCTCTGGGAGTTCAGGAGATGAAGGAGTCAACAGCGGAAGCCCAGACCAATAGGGATGTCTTACACCCTCCCACACCCAAATCCTGAACTTCACAAAGTCACCTGAAAACTCAGAGAAACCAGATGGAACTATCACAGGTGAACTTGATGCACTAGGGAAATTGCATTAAGCATAATGAGAAGGGAAGCCGAGGCCAGCACAAAAACCAGGTTGTTGACATTGAGGAAGGACATAGGGTCATTGTGGTCCCACTCCAGGAACTGCAGGGATGAGAGATGAGTAGCTTTCATGAGTGGGATGGACCATGTCTGTGACTTTCTCCCTATACACACACAGAACACCCCTGCTATGCTCATAACTCCTGCCATCTGGACTCCAAGAGGGCAGATAACAAAAATCCTGGGTTTTTCTGCTCAGGGTGACTGCTGATCTACCTTCCTTTTATCTATTTTCCACATGAGCAGCTGTGGTTATGGGATGGACACTTATGAACTTAACAAAATAGCCCAGTGTGATCTCCTCCTGCTGCATGATGCCCATCAGCATGCTGGTTTGGGCTTCTAGTACAGGTGCAGCAGGGTCAGTCTGCAGGACTCCCCAAAGCCACAGAGGAAGGAAGTGACTCCATGACAGACTGGACAGAGCAAGGTCAGCTCTGTGTTCACATTACATTTTTCTGTCAGTCTTTTTCACAGGTTAATAATGATCATGTTCATTTCTCACAAGAGTCCTTGCACAGAGGACAGAAGGAGGACCCTGGGCTGTGAGAAATGAAAGATATCTCCAACATTTCCCTCCAGCCTGCAGGAGACACTGCCTGGGACCCACATGAACTTCAGCCATGTGGGCTTTGTCCTGGAATATTGAGCACAGATGTCACAAATACCATTTTCTGGATGAACAAAGGAAATTGGGATATGTAAAAAGTATTATTGAGCAAGAAAAATGAATTAAATAATATAAATGGGTCAGTTCTGAGGGCATTGTGCTTAGTTCCTCACAGAAGGAGGGGAAGTTAGAGCCCTATTAGGTTTTTTGCATCACTGAGAGAAGTCTGAAACTCCTCTTTTTCACACCCTGAATCCTAATGTCTGTCCTAATCAGGAAATCCCACAGTCTCTGTTGTGTCATTGGAAAAAGACTTAACCTAGAGCTCTGAGCCAGTGCAGGACCTGACCAAGGCAGAGTCACTTCTGGTCATAAATGTGACATTCTACACTTTGTTCATGTCAGTATATATCTTATGTATTTGGAAAATCACAATAAATAAAACTATTTATGTTTACAGTCATATAACTCTTTCATCATGGCAGCACCTCCACAAAACTGACCTTGAGTTCAGTGTGTGCTGACCGCCAGCTGCTGGTCAAGAATAGCACTTCAGAGAGGTTTATGACTGGATTCACACTGAAGACTCTCATTGTGTCTCTTGCACAGTAATACACGGCTGTGTCCTCAGCTCTCAGGCTGTTCATTTGCAGATACAGCTGGTTCTTGTTATTGTCTCTGGAGATGGTGACTCGGCCCTTCACAGAGTCTGCGTAGTAAGTGCTACCACCACTGCTGCTAATTGATGCAATGAACTCCAGCCCTTTTCCTAGAGGCTGGCGGCCCCAGCCCATGGGTCTACTGAAGGTGAATACAGAGGCTGCACACGAGAATTTCAGAGCCCCTCCAAGCTGCACCAAGCCTCCCCCAGGCTGCACCTCACACTGGACACCTGCAAACAAAGAAAATCCTGGTCAAGAAATTACCACAAATAGTCACTGTTCCTCTCACTCATATCCACTCACACACTCAAGATTTCTTGTTCTCTGAAAATCACCTTTAAAAATAGCAACAAGGAAAATCCAGCTCAGTCCCAGCACCACAGTGAGTGGTCTATGTTCAGTGCTGATCACTGAATGGGGTCAGCTGGAATCCAGGGTTGGGCTCCTCTACAGAGCTGCAGGGTCAGGGTTGGGCTGGTTTTCAAAAGCAGAGAGAGGCCTTATTTGCATGTCCTCCTTCAATATAGCAAGCTCTGGTGGAAGATTCAGACTGGCCAGAGGCCAGAGCATATCTGACAATCCTTGTAGAGATTCTGACAATGCCTGCATTAAAGAAAGAAAGAGAATATTTAATGGGAAATGGCGGTGGTGGAATGGGAAAGGACAGAGACCTTGGCTGATGAATATGATCAAAGCACTTTGCAGCTATGTATGAAGATAAAGTAATGCCACATTGAAAAATTAAACCATTTAAATTTGCTTAAAAATAAGGGAGGGCTGATCAGAAACCATAATAGATGAGATGAGTTTGTTCATACATGCATATACATATTATATGAATGCATGCAAATAAAAAATGAAACCTATTTGTGCAATAAACGTTAAACAAAACTAAAGTGAACACGAAGTTTCATGATGTGACAGATAATCATTATGAACACTAGGTCTTATTTAATTTTTTCCGTTAACACAAAACATATATGTATTAAATTTGTCTTCTGTTCAAACATGTGGAAGTATAAAATAATCACAATGGTTGCTGCTGGGTGTACAGGAGTTCATGACGTCAACCATCCACAACACTGATCTCTAAATCAGAGTGAGACACACCTGGTGAGGAGTGCACAGCCCCCTTTCTGTGATGAGCACAGGTGTGACATACCTTCATTCTAGTGTTAAAAAGAATATAGAGATATTCTATATCAGTCAGATGCAGACTTTATTCTCTGACATCTCATAGCATTGTTCCCCAGTCACATTTTGTACATTGACATGTGTTGTCTCTCTTTAGAAAACTTACTGTGTTTCAGCACAGGATGTAATAAACTGCATGTTTATTGAGAGCATATTTGATGATATTGACATCATGGAAACTAGTTCAATATCAGCACAAAGAGCGGAATTTGTATTCAATCCCCAAGTGTGTCCTTGGGTTCCTTTGTACTCCCTGTCTCACACTTCCCTCATCTTTTCATATCTCCAGACAGCTCATGGCCTTGATTATGTTGTGTTACGTTAATTTTCATTTTTCAAAATGTGTACAATTATCATTTACAGTCTGCAGTTTTAATTGTTTTACATATTTAAAACATAGTATTTTTCAAAATCCCTCCATGTTTTAGGATCTCAGTCATTTATGTGTTTTATGCTCAGTAATTTCCCCATAGATGAAGCACTTAATTACCTATTGTCATCTGGCCTGTTCACAGTTTTGAGATACTTTTTATCTTTCAAGTTATTATACACTAAGGTGTTATTCAGCTTGCAGTTGTAGTGATCCGATATAAGTTTCTCCTATTCTGACAGCAAAGATAAAAACAATATAGTACTAGACTATCGGCCAATTGAAAGATAAACACCTCAGATTCCAGACTTCCCAGGACAAGTGGACACAAATGGAATATGGACCCTGGATTCAGGTCTCTACCTTGGGCCATTCACAACACTGCCCTGCTCTCAATTCCTACACTCTACAGAAGTAATGAGTAGTGTTCCTGAAGCAGAGGTCAACAGACACCAGGGTAAAGGTGACATTGGACGTGGTTGGTGTATTACTGCTAAGCAAATGTGCTGGGGCACTAGTGTGTGAGTGTTCCATGGTACACAGATGCAAGTAGTCTTTGTACATGTTTGTTGCTATACTGAAAGACCTTACACCTTGTGAGCTACAAATGGAACAGTTGTGTCCCTCATGTCTCTTGAGCTGAGAAGTCTAAGAACAAGCCATTGTAGTCAGCACTGGCTCCTAGTCCCAAGCTTCATAATTTCTGCAGAAGAGAAGCCCACCGAGTCCTCACATTGCAGACCAATTAGTATTCCCATTACAGGATGGAATACTAATTGCATCTATGAAGTCAGATGTCCTGCATAGGACACACCTGTAAATATCACCTTGTTGATTAAGTTACAAACATGAGCTTTGAGGATTGTATGTATTCAAAACATGCTTCCCACAGTGGACCTCAAAAATTCAAGTCCATTCTCCATATTGAATGAATTCCTCTGTTGCAATAGTCACAAAGGAACTTGTTCAAGTACGAACTATAAAATCTAAGTTTAGTAATATGATGTACAAAGTTGGTATTAAATTAAATATGGTGGAGACATCAGGAATGTGTCCCCCCTGGCATTTGGTTGACACCCCCATTCCCAAATGGATGATGTGAAAGAAGAGATGGATAAAAAGTCCCGTAAAATCCTAAAATTCAGTGGGTCACACATTAAACATAAATGCTCTATAGATTCACACTGCAGTAGGTATGTGAATCAATGGCAGGCTCACCCATATTCTGTTGTGTGCACCTGACTCAGCAGCCTCATGTATGGGAGCTGGTTTCCTCAGCATTTCATGGCTTATTTTGCATAATGAAGCCTTACAGGGATGTTTTCATGGCAGACATACCATACCCATATGTCCTTTAGAGATTTTACCTGTTGAGACTCCCTGGACTGTGCAGGCCTTGCTCCCATGGAGGCTTTCTGCACTCTCTCCACATCAGCGGTGATTCTCTGCCTGGCCCTGAGAATGTATGGCAATGCTTTAAAATCTAGATGGAGGCTTCCCTGCATCACAGCTCTAGGATACTGTAAACTGGAAAGTGAGGACCAAATGGACACCATCAAGATTTTTGGAATGTGGCCTCTGCATGAACAACTATCAAAGCCCACACTGTATCTGGACACACTGGAGCCTCACCAGTGGGGAGTGGCGACTATGGTATGGGATTGTGTGAGGCAGAGACTAAAGTTGGTCGAGTTCAGTGAACCATGAATTCATGCATGTGCTCTGTGTCGCATATGATGCTGTCTTGCACTCATAATCCTGTACTGTGGTTCTGCGATGGAGTGGCAGCCTTTGAAAAGCCTTTGGGACATTCTTCCATTTTTCTGATGAACAGCACCTGGCTTCCTTCTCAGGTCCCCCCCCCCCCCCCCCCCCACCCCCCCCCCCCCCCCCCCCCCCCCCCCCCCCCCCCCCCCCCCCCCCCCCCCCCCCCCCCCCCCCTCCCCCCCCCCCCCCCCCCCCCCCCCCCCCCCCCCCCCCCCCACCCCCCCCCCCCCCCCCCCCCCCCCCCCCCCCCTCCCCCCCCCCCCCCCCCCCCCCCCCCCCCCCCCCCCCCCCCCCCCCCCCCCCCCCCCCCCCCCCCCCCCCCCCCCCCCCCCCCCCCCCCCCCCCCCCCCCCCCCCCCCCCCCCCCCCCCCCCCCCCCCCCCCCCCCCCCCCCCCCCCCCCCCCCCCCCCCCCCCCCCCCCCCCCCCCCACCCCCCCCCCCCATCCCCCCCCCCCCCCCCCCCTCCCCCCCCCCCCCCCCCCCCCCCCCCCCCCCCCCCCCCCCACCCCCCCCCCCCCCCCCCCCCCCCACCCCCCCCCCCCCCCCCCCCCCCCCCCCCCACCCCCCCCCCCCCCCCCCCCCCCCCCCCCCCCCCCCCCCCCCCCCCCCCCCCCCCCCCCCCCCCCCCCCCCCCCCCCCCCCCCCCCCCCCCCCCCCCCCCCCCCCCCCCCCCCCCCCCCCCCCCCCCCCCCCCCCCACCCCCCCCCCCCCACCCCCCCCCCCCCCCCCCCCCCCCCCCCCCCCCCCCCCCCCCCCCCCCCCCCCCCCCCCCCCCCCCCCCCCCCCCCCCCCCCCCCCCCCCCCCCCCCCCCCCCCCCCCCCCCCCCCCCCCCCCCCCCTTAAGTTTGTTTTTCATCAAGTCCTGGACTTACTCCTGTGTTGTGTTGATCATGTCCCTAATTATACATGGAAATTTTACTGTTTCTGATAGAGTCCACATTGAGTGATGATCAGGGAATAGAAGTATATTGATTAAAGTGTATGGATGTGGACAATCATGCTGGTTATTGATCTGTGGTTGTGCTTTTCCCATTCAACGTTGCATGTGTAGCATCCATCCACTTTGCATTGTTCCCTACATGTCCTCCGCATTCCTCCCCATATATCCTTCCTTTCTCCATTTAATGACGGTACATTACTCATCACACTACTAAAGAGGTACAGGAAAATTAATTCACACAGTGTACTGGGGTTCCCAGCACAGTGCCTACTAACTATCAGGTGAACAAACTGAAAATGTGCAATCCATTTTACTATAAAGAAGGAATGTGTGTTATGTCCGAAAGTCTGACTTAATCAGACCCCTCTCCTATTCTTCTCACAGCTTTCAAATTATCAGCAAAACGAGGGATTTCAGGCAGGTAACTTGTGATCTTCACTGGAACACAGAGCATTTGTATTGAGCAATGATGTGTGGTAGGTGGGTTTTGCATTCCATGCTCAATGGTATGGGGAGTTGGGTCTGGGAGGACAGTCATCATTATGGCCACTGAATTTTCCAAAAATGGAATACCATGCCTTGATTTAGACTTTCCTAGTTTCCATGGTTTGAGTCCTGGATCTACACAAGTCTCCAAAACACATTACAATTCCAGAAGCCTTGTTAGTTAAATGGCTCTCTTACTTAGTGTCCCAGTACCATCACCTGGGCTGTGATTGACATCCCAAATATAAGTCAAGTATGGATGCAAACACTATTCTTAAAAGGCCTAGGACCAGTCACTGGCTTATTGAGGTCCTACAGAGTCATTGCTTTGTATTGGTACTTAGTCAGAGATCTTGCAGTGTTAGAGAATGGAGATCCTATGTGAGTGACTTGTCATGTTTGCATACAAGTTGTAGTGATTCTCAACCTGGCAGCCCTTCAGAATCAAACCGAGTGTTTACAACCCCAATGTGCAAGCCATAAGGGAAAGCACTGTCTTATATCCTCCAGCGTAGGATGGAGAGGTTAGTGTTTTTCAGCTTTTATGAGATGTGATCAACTAATACATTATACATGTTTCCCAAGGAGTGTAAATTATAACTTTTTATCCACACATTATTCAGAGAAAATTAGATTAAAATGTTTCAAATTTTTCAAGATACAAATGATTTTCAGATACCCCTGAGAATAAAGATACGTGGAATGGCGGATTTTACATGTAGATCAAGCAATTGAATAGTATGCAGACCTCAGATCAAACTCCAATACTGCCACAAAGAAGCCAACATAAGTGATCAATTACTATCTATTTAGATATAATTGATGTAAGAAAATTATATTTCTTCATCCATACTTTGTCTCCCAGCTTTTGATAAATTACCTGATATAAATTATGTGATAAAGAGAAAAGTGAATGTGAAGAAGAAAAGAATTTCTATGGAAGAAATCATTTTTAATTTTTTAAAGATTTAATTGACAAATAATAATTATTTATGTTCAGGAGATCCAGGATTCCATACATGCATATAATACTCAGTGTGCAAAAATTATCAAGATTATTAGCCTTTCCACCACTTCAAATATGTACAATTTCATTGTAGTAAACAAAATTGAAAATGTTCTCTTCTTCTTGTTCTGAAATACACAATACATGATGGTTATTAAAGGATTGAGATGGAACTGGAGAACTGTGTTCAATGAACTAAATCAAGCACAGAGCTGTTCTCATTCTTTTAAACCAGTTTCTCATCTGTGTCCAGGTGCTGGCTTGTGAAGACCAGGAGCAGAGTCCATGCTGTCTGTGGTCAACAGTGAACGAGGAGAAGAAATGAAAACCTCTACATACTGTGGTTTACAGTCGGTTTATTGTCCCACTGTTCAGAGGAACCATATCCTTGCTCTCCCTATGTGTCCATACACCTGAGTTTCACCAAAAAGTGTGTGAGACCTTTCAAGTGCAGTGAACAGGAGCAGCTCTGCCCACCTGAGACCCTTCATGCTAACTCAAATGAGAAATGTGGAGACTCAGGATCCCCAGGGTGGAATAGGAATCCTGCAAATTTCTTCAGTGCTGTTGGAGGAGGCCCAGGTCCTATCCATGAAGCCCTACCCCAACATTTCCCCAAAGGATCCCCTACCGTTTCCATACAGATGTTTTATGCTGAAACTGAAACAGATTTTCCTTTCCAGGCTTGTGTTTCAGTATCTCCAGTTCTCAACTCTGAGTATGTCACTATGAATGCTACATGCTCTGGTTTCATGATTATTGGGGACGTCACAATCCCATTACCCAGTTCCTTCATAAAGGAGTCCAGCATCAATGAGAGATGCTCCATGGACAGCAGACCCTTTGAAGGCATCCAGCTCAGTTTCTGGTTGGAATCACTGGAGATCATCACTGGCAGGTCTTTCTGCCATTGGCAGTTTTAAGTGACTCCCTTCAGATCCACATGCAGAGTTCTACTTAGGAGGTAGGTTTTGCTACCTTTAGACCACTGGCTTTGCTTTCCCCCATTCCTGGAACTCTCCATGCCCCACACCTCTTCTGGGATCTATATTCTATCGTAAATCCTCCTGGACCTGACCTGTTGCACCTCAGTCATCCTCTTCACAGTCATTCTCAGTGAGGTCTCTGACACAGCTAATGGGAGAGATCATCAGCGTCTGCCCTATTCCAGTTCCCATTCTTCTCACTGTGCCTGCCAGGTGTATTTACCTTCATGGTACTTCACAGAACTATTACCAAGGTCAGCAGGAGGCTAGAGTAAAAGACTTGTTTTATGAGGAACAAGTAGGCTTGACCTTCTGCATTTGATCCATTGTGTATCCTCATGTTCTGTCAATCTGTACATCCAAGACCTTTTTTCACTCCTCTAACATCTCAAGTCTTACCTAATTACTTCCTTCTGGACACATGAAGTAAGCCCTCAGGAAAGATCCAGACACATGTAAAATTCCAGAGTCTCAACCTTTGGGTTCCAGGTTCTCATTTCTGCATTTATTTGTTGATATTCAATGTGAAAATGAATGGTGATGTTCATAATCGCACATTAAAATAGTTTTCATTTTTACTCAGAAAAATATTAAGAGAGAAAAGCAATATAATCATTGGGAAAATACAATAAAAGAAACAAGGAAGCTTTCTCTTTTGGGGCCTTTCATTACAAGTTTTTCCTCATGTTCTTTGAATACCCTTCTGACTATTTTCATTTTGTACAGAGACACATGAAATCTGTGGAAAACCCATAAAGAAAATACATTCTTCGTGTTTCTTTTCTATTTTATGTAGCATCTCACCAGATTTATGTGAAAAAGTCTTTAGCAAACATGCAGGACAATTTTTCCATAAGATTCTGTTCTTCAGCCTACATAAAAGTAATCACCAATTGTTTGGATGTGAAATTTATGTAGGGAGAAGCAGGAAAAGGGGAAAATATATCTTTCTTTTTACTCTAATTCTGAGTAACACATTTGGGAAAATTCACTACTGAAAACAACAAAAGTATTTAACTAAAACTTTTTGGATCAGGAATCCATGGTAAGCCAATCTGTGTCTCCTGTGTAGCTTCCTACAGGTGATAATGGAGGTCTCCCCTGGTCTCAGAATAGCCTTTTAGGATATTCAGAAGACAGGATTGGAGAACTCTTTGAGTCTAGGACCTACAAGCTTACATGAGTCTGTAATGAAGAAGGCACTGGTGACTCTTGTAATCCTAGCTATTCAGGAGGCAGAAATCAGGATAGTTGTGATTTGAAACCAACCTGGGCACATAGTTAAGGAAACCATTCTTTAAAATATCCATCACAAAAAAGGGTAGATGGAGTGGGTCAAGGTGTAGGTCCTGAGTTCAAACCCCAGGCCCACCAAAAGGAAGGATAGGTTTAAGGCCTCTAAGTCTAGGTCCTAGGAGATTGTGAGGATGTAGCTGATCTTAATAGAGACATGGGGTCTGCAGAACACCAGTGACAGTTGATGATGTGTCATTCCCTAAATCCCATTCTAAGCAAAATAAGATAGAGTTCACCTGTCGTGTTAGCACTTTATATTACACAAGTTGAGGAGGTAACATTTTAAAGATGAAGGGCAAAGTGAGGACATGGAATCCCTGCCACGTTCTGGTTTTCTTATCTGCTCAATGTACTGTCTAGGCCTTCATGAACCTTTTTATGAAAATGTAGGTTTACAGATATGTTTGAGAAAGCTGATTTGCATTGCTAGGAAGTGAAAATATACATGCAACTTGTCAAGTTTTTAAGGATTTCATTGGTATTAAAAGAAAATTAAATACACATTTAAAGATGTTTGGAAAAACCAAACGCAGTCAAGGAGATCATTTACAATAATCATTGCTGTTGTCAACATTAGAGTCAAAATCTAATTTTATATAGGTCACAAGGAAGGTTTCACATGACAGGGACTAATCAGAGTTTTCCTGTAAAACAGTCATTTAAACACCAAGAAGATTGGTTTCTAATACTTTATGTGTATACAGGTACGTCAAACCTATTTCCTATAAAGTTAACTTGAAAGAAAACTTTGTATGTTGCACTATATTAAGTTCCATTTTAAGTACAGGTTAAGATTGCAAACTTTAAAACCTATCAGAAGAGGTGTATTTCAGGGCAAGTGGAGGCTTAGCAAGCAGAGGAACATGACATCACAGTGAATCCAACAGCTTATGTTTGGTTATAAATAATTTGATCTTCAACCAATTCTTCCTTCTCAACTCCTGTTTAGGACATCCACACCAGCAGAAGGAGCCATATAGACACTCTGATTAGCAAATTCTCTTCCAGCCACCTTTTCTCTGATTTTTTATCTCAGGCTTATTATTCTCACATTGGTATCCTCCAAACGTTCTTTCTAGAATTTCTTCCTCACAAAGATATTGGAAACAAAAAAATTTTTAAACTGTCACAGTAAAATTGATGGATTTGAAAATATTATGTCAACACTTGAGAACACTCTTTAATATGTTTTTTATTTACTAGAGCTCTCCTTTTGCACATGAAGGTGAACTGGAAGGCATAGGGGCCTCTGGACACCCAGAAAGAAGCAAAAGTTGTCCCATCCAGTTCAAGGATAGGTCCACATCCCCAGAAACTGTGGGCCCAAATGGCAAAGAATCAGGAAACACAGAATCTCCAGAATGTTCAGAAAACAGAGACATTTAATCAGGTTTAAAAAAGAGAAAGAATGGAGGCAAAAGGGAGATATGGGGAAGTTCTACTAAAATTTAGGCATTAAAAATAAGGAGATAGTGTTTCTCCAAAACTCCAAGATTTGCAAAGCCATTTCCATGAATTAATTGGGAAATTGGAGAGAGACAACAGCTGTATTTCCCCTAGGGAGCTACAAGGAGGGGCCAAATTTATTTCATGGACAATCAGTGAGATGGGTCAAGGAAAGACTGTTTTCTTGGCATTCCACAGGCACAAAACTTTGGAGTTCCATGAACACCGTATGGGGAAAAAACAGGAACTGCCTGCAGTTATAGGGAGGGTCTTATATTACTGAAGGAAAAAACACAGCACAGATCATATGGCTGGACTGTGTAAGTCACACAAAAAGTTGAACAGAACTGAGATGTAGAATCCATTCTCCTCATTGTAGTTGGTAATAAGGGAATATCCAATTAACATTGTTTTGCCCTCAGCAAGAATACCTGCAGAGGAAGTTTAGATTTCAGAAATCCCAGCATCCCTGAAGGGAGGCTGGGGCCCAATTGGATGAAGCTGACAGAATCCTGTGAATATCGAAGTTTGAGTCTCCTGCTTGTGTGTTGATCCTTTTCACTTCTGGGTGAACGAGATTATTCACATCCATTTCCATTGTTTGTGCACAGTTTGTTAAATCTCTGTGGCTAATAGGATCCAACTTTATGTGTTTTCTAAAGGAAACACTGCCCTCTTTTTCTTTGTATTTGCATGATCACGTTTGTGTTTTAATTGTTGCTATGTTGTGGCACCTGAAATTAAATGATCAGACAAAATTGATTTTCATTACATTTGAATTTTCTGTAGACAGAGTGGAAAGGTCATAATTACATAAGAATGTGATTGTATTAAAAATTTAAAAGTCCTTAATTAAGAAAATAAATCTTTCCACAAATGACTTATGACGAATAAAATGACAAGTGATTCAGGCATCCATCCATGATCAGGAATGAGGGTAATGTGTCTGCCTGAATAAATTCTAATGAGATTTTCTGTGACTCAAAGGAAATCAAAAGAATTCTTGCAGGAAACACTCATTCATATATTTTTATCACTGTTTGCCAATAATAATTCATTGTCAAATCTATAAATTTAAACACAGTTTTTAAGAGTTTAAAAATGTATTGTTATACACAGAAGGAGGACACACAGAAAATAAAAGCAAAAGAAAGATGATACAATTTCTTATTAAAACATCACTTATAACTAGTGACATTGGGTTTCAAAGAAACAAGCTTGGCATGATGCTGTTTGCCAGTGGACTCAGCTCCATTGGAGGTGTGGGTCAGAGGATTACAGTGCAAGACCTACCCCTGAAAAAACAGGAGACCTTATCTGAAACAATTATCTAAAACAAGAACATTCTGGTATTGTAAAGCAAATGTATAGGAAGCACACGACTGAGTTCAAATACCACTATCACTAAAAAGAACACAGGAAAGATCTCCAGAGTCACTGCATGGTGTTGTCTGGTAGGAGGTGGCTAAATAAGAACCAGAGCTTCAGAAATTAAAGTTCAGGTGTCTGTCTGTCTGCACCTGCTATTGGGACTAAGGCTGTGTTTGCTGTGGGCTGCGCGCCCCCTGCTGGTCCTGTTTGCTCCTGCAGTGAGGTTTGTGTTTGGGCTCACACTGAGTTCCCCTCACTGTGTCACTTGTACAGTAATATGTGGCTGTGTCCTTTGAGGTCACAGAACTCAGCTGCAGGGAGAACTGATTCTTAGATGTGTCCCTGGAAATGGAGATGCGGCTCTTGAGGGATGGGCTGTAGCTTGTGCTTCCACCATAATTTATGTATCCCATCCACTCCAGGCTTTTCCCTGAAGGCTGGCGGATCCAGCTCCAACCATAACTGCTGATTGAGGCACCAGAGACAGCACAGGTGACGGACAGAGTCTGTGAGGGCTTCACCAGTCCTGGTCCTGATTCCTGCAGCTGCACCTGGGACAGGACACCTGGAGACAAGGAGAATCATTACAGTTCATCATAACCTGTGGTTATGAACTTCTCATGGACCCATGTGTGAATTTGGGGACTTTCACCTTGGGGAGCTGTCACCAAGCACAGGAGAAGAACCAGCAGCCTCATCTTCTAGACCACAACCCTGCCTTCCCCAGAGACCCGAGTCCTGTGTGAGGAGTGAGCTGTGGGGTCCACCTGCCTGAGAGGGGTATTTCACT